TTCGAAAAGGTCAAGAGCATCTGGAGCAGCTGCGTGTGGCCATGGCGCACCGCAAGGTGCAGTAGACCGTCGCCAAACTACGAGCTTGGACGTGAGTGTGTGGACGTCAAACTCAATCTGAACACCTCGTTCGTGACGCGAGCATCAACGCCTTGATCCAAAAGTGCTTTGGTGGCAGCAACATGGCCCGCGACCACTGCTTGCACAAGCTCCATCTTCTTCTCTTCCTCGGCAGGTTCATGGACTGGGGGAGCTGGTTGAGGCTACGAAAAGAGCATAAATTCAACTTCATGCAAGCAGTCAATGGCGCGTACACCCGGGTTGGTGTTGATATACTCTTGCAGAAGACGGACAATAGTCGCGTGCCCACGCTGCGTGGCCATCGAGAGCGCCGTGTTGCCGTCCTAATCAGCAAGATAAACCTCGGCGGTGGGAAATCTCCGTCTCGTACGGCATCGGTGGCTTGGAGGTTGGGGTGGTGACTCAGCAAGGCGCGAGTCACCTCGTCGTGGCCAAACTGGGCGGCCAGTAGAAGCGGCGTTGCACCCGCCTACTAGGAACTGAAGGACGTCGTCGCAGAGATTGGATTCAGTACCAAGATGTTCTCATCACTATCGTCGACTTGAAGACTCTGGTTCACGTCTGCGCCAGCGTCGAGAAGATGTTGCACAATATCGAGATGACCGCGTCGGGTTGCGGTCAAAAGTGGGGTGTCACCGTCCTATAACGCAACCCGTTGATCCACAGACAGAATTTGAAACCTCTATCGGTGCAGCGTGTACGTTTCTAGCTTGATCCACAGCTGCGTTGGCGTCGAGAAGCGTCTTGACTACGGTGTCGTGTCCGAAGAATGCAGCAATCATCAGCGGCGTTCTCCCATCCTACATCGATGTCGACATGTGAGACCACGTGTTTCAGGAAGCAACAAGCATAAGGAGAGAACGTCGTACGTTCATCGCTTGATTCACAGCTGCGTTAGCGCCGAGGAGCGTCTTGACGATAATGTCGTGTCCGTTGAATGCAGCCATCATCAGCGGCGTCACTCCATCCTACGTCATCAACAACGTGTGAGACCACGTGTTTGAGAGCGCAACAAGCATAAGGAGAGAATGTCGTACGTTCATCGCTTGATCCACAGCTGCGTTGGCGCCGAGGAGCGTCTTGACGACGATGTCGTGTCCGTTCTGTGCAGCAATAAAGAGCGGCGTCACCCCGTTCTACACAATCGGACATCTCTTGATGCTATCGAGCGTGGCCAACGCACCTTGTTGGTCCAGTTAACGTTGGCGCCTTCCTTGAGCAGGCGCTGGACGTCGTTGATGCGACCTCTGAACGCAGCATCAAGCAGCCGAAGGCCCTACACCACAAATTGTTCACCACCTCCAGCGCCGTCGACGTCGTCGTACCGATGGTGATCCAAGGAGGGCCGCCCACATGGATCGATTCCTCAAATCAGTCAATGCGACTTGACGTTTGGAAATCAATTCCTTACAGCATACTGAAAACAAGCTAAACGCCACCGTCTGATTTGTGTTTTATACTGTTTTATACAGGTCACAAACATCCGATATGGCTTCCTTGCCAGTACAGTGACAACCCCAAGCTCGTGCTCGAGTACATGGACGGTGGCAACCTCCGCCAGTACCTCGACAAGAAGCGCGAGGGCGAGCCCGTTCCGTTTGAATATTCAACCCTTGACATTGCGTGGGTCATTGCCAACGCTTTGGCCGACCTCCACCGGAATGGCTTTCTGCACCGCGACCCCAAGAGCCTCAACGTCCTCCTCTCGTCCTCC